ATCCCATCCCACCCCATCATCCTGTTCTGCACTGAGCGGACTCAGGACACCATTCCCAGGCTGGAATTCACTATCAGATTCCCCATCCTTCACTCCAAAGTCATCCCAGTTTATCCAAGAGTTCCCTCAGGATCCTTACCTGCCCATTTTGGGATGGGGGCAGCAGGAGGAGCCGCTGGAGCCTCAGCCGGTGACCTCGGAGGCACCGGGAACATCCGAACTTCCCGGAGCCATCCCTGCTCTGCTCCTGCGGAAAAGCGAGCGCCGGTGATTCCCTGCAGTGGGAGATCCCCGGGGGAACAGCCGGGATGAGATCCTTCCCTTCCCTCAGCACCTGACCGGGGTGAGGGGCTGCTCCTAGGCTCCCCGGGCGTGCAGGAATACAAGGAAAAACAGGAATAGCGAGGCGGTGGAAGCACGGAATCACCTCGTGCAGGGTGGAGAGGGGCTGGGGGGAATTCCCAGGGAAGCCGTGGCTACTCCCGGATCCCTGGAAGTGCCCGAGGCCGGGCCGGAGCAGCCCGGGACAGGGGAGGCGCTGGGGTTGGAAGCGGATGGGATTTAAGGTCCTTCCCACTCAAAGCATCCCGGGATTCTGGGACCCCTGCCACGATCAAACGCCAGCAAAATCCCAAAAGAAATAAGGAAAAGCTGGAATTCCGCCTCAGGAACACAGCCCGGGGCTGTCCCTCCTTCCCGGCCCGGACGGAGGGAAGATCCCGCCGGAGGAGCCCGAGGGAGCGGAGCCGGTGCCAGGGAGGGACCGGGAACAACGAGATCAGGGATCGGGATGAGAGGTCGGGATCAGGGATCGGGATGAATGAACAGGATGAGGGATGGGGATGAGGGACCGGGATGAGGGATCGGAATGAGGCAAGGACGGGGCAGGGACACCGAGCGGAAAGAGTTCCAGGCCCCCCGCCCGTCCCCACGGCCGCCACCATCCCGCAGGGCCCGGCCCGGCTGCCCCCAAACCCCGCGGCTGCCCGGCGATCCCATTCCCGCTCCCGATCCCATTCCCGGTCTCCATCCCGGTGTCTCCCCCTTCTCTCTTCCCATTTCACCTCCCGGGCCGTCCCATGGCTACCGGGCCCACGCCACGTCCGGGTGCACCGCCGGAAGTGACGCAACCGCGTGACGTCACGGCGGGGGCCGCGGAGGGATTCCCCAGGGGCGTGACCACGATTGATGGGCGTGGCCAAAGAGGCGTGGCCATAGTGGAGTGGGCGTGGCCATGCGGGGACCGGTGCGCTGCAGGTAAAAACAGCTAAAAATTCGCTATAAAAACAGCCAAAAATCGCCATAAAAACAGCCAAAAATCGCCATAAAAAACGCCAAAAGTCTCTGTTTTATATATAACAGCGTTTAACGGCAGCAATAGCAATTTATGGCTAAAAATATTCCAAAATTGAGAAATATATAAAATTTATAGCCATAACTGTGTCGATATTTTGATATATATTAAATGTGTAGCTATAAATGGGTTAATATTTAGAAATACGTAAAATTTATAGCAAGAAAGGTTTCAATATTTGGGAATAAATTCAATTTATAACTACCACAGTGCCAATATTCTGAATTATGTTATTATGAATATCCAGTGGTATTGTAGCACTTGTGAGAAATACCTAAATATTTACCATATAAAGAATAAATAAATAAATTCGATTTAAAAAACAAAGAAAGGGCAGAAAATCCAAGGGGAAAAGGGGAATTCTCCCGTGTTTTGCCACGGAGAGGCAGCATCGCCCACACTCGCTCTAAGATTCTTTTGGAGATATGGCAGGAAAGGTTTCTCGTGGTGAAAATAACGGGAATAAACTCTGGGATTTGCTGGAAAAGCGGAGCCGGGTGTGGAATCCATCCCGGGAGGGGCTTTAGGTGGAACTGGGCAGGAAAAGAGGGGATTTGGGATGGGAAATTATCCCCAGGAAGGGGAGGAAGAAAAGAATAAGGAAGGGGGAAAAGAATAAGGAAAGGTGATGGGAAAGGGGAAAGGAAAAAAGGGAAAGGAAAAAAGGGAAGGGGAAAGGAATAATGGAAAGGAATAAGGGGGAAAAGGGAATGGAAAAAGGGGAGGAAAAAAGGAAGGGATAAAGAATAAAGAAAGGAGAAAGTTGAAATAAGAAAGGAAAGGGGAACAGAATAAGGAAAGGAAAAAGAAAAGGAATAAGAAAAAGGGGGAAAGGAAAAAGGAATAAGGAAAGGGCTAAGAAAGGAGAAAGGGAAAGAATGGGAAGGAATAAGGAGAAGGTTTCTCTGTCCCGTGAGTTCCGCTCAGGGGCGGCTCAGGGCCGGGATGGGGATCAGAAACCTTGGAGAGCAGGGAAAGGGGGACAGGATTTGCGGGGCCGGGAGCACGGAGCGAGGGGAAAAGCCGGACTGGGGATGCAGGGAACGGAAATCTGCGGGATGTGATTCCATTGGGAGACACTAAACCATCCTGCCGGCTGCAATCCCGCTGCAATCCCGCCTTGGCTGCTGCGAGGAGCGCGGCAGGAAGAGTTTTCCAAGCATCTAACCCCGCTCGCTCCAATTCCGGAGATCCCGGAGCCGATCCGTGCTGGGCTGCTCGCAGACAGAGAGCCGGAGCAGCGTTTGGGAATGGAGAATTTGGATTTCTCCAAGGAGGAATCACCCCGTGGACAGGGCCAGGCCACTCCTGTGGCTCTCAAGGTGTGGGGAGGGTGCGGGTCGCTATCTGGAGCCTCCGGGAAGCGCCGATAGGAGCGGCCGGGGCTGGCGCTGCTGATGCTGGGGAGCAGCCTGGGGCTGCTGGTGGGGTGGGGAGCAGGAGGGGATATTGAGAGCCTGGAAGGTTCTCCCAGCGGGATTTTCCTCCCAGCTGTTCTGTGTTTATTCGTTAAAAGGTTCACGTTTCAAAGCTGGCCCGAGCTCCCGAAGGTGCACTGGCTTTGGAGTGAATAAAGGGGATTTTTTTCTTTGCTTGTACTGAGGCAGAAGGCTCAGAGTGTATCCTCATTCCAGCCTTTTCTCCTCACCATCTTTTCATCACATTTTAAACACGTTTATTTGCCCTGAAGTGCTGAAACACATCAGAATTAACCAATTTGACCAAGACCGTGAGAGGGGTCAGGGCAGGGCAGGATCGCAGAATCTGTTTGGGTTGGAAGGAGCTTAAATTCCATTCATCTCCAATACCAACACCTCCCACCATCCCAGGCTGCTCCAGGCTCTGTCCAGCCTGGCCTTGGGCACTTCCAGGGATCCAGGGGCTCTGGGAATTCCAGCCCAGACCCTCAACCCTCGCAGACAAGAATTCCTTCCCAATATCCCATCCTCTCCTCTCCCTCTCCATTCCTGGCTTTTCCCGTCCTTTCTGCCTCTAATTTTGCCGAGTGCTGGAATTAAGGCCGGGACAAACCGCAGCCTCCTCTGCCCAGTGCCCCCAGTCCCTCCCGAGCTCAGCTCCAGCTGCTCCCTCCCATTGTTCCCCCAGGGCTCCAAACCAGAAAGGCGAGTTGGGGAAAAAAACCACCAAACCAAATCAACTTTGGTGCAGGAAATAATCCCAAAGCAGCTTTAATTACACACGGCGGGCACTCCCGGGAGGGGGAATTAGGTCAGGTTATGTGAGCGCTGAAAGGAACCCAGCAGCCAAATTCCGGGACTCCACACCTCAGCTCAGGGAGACTGGAGCCTTTTCCCGTTTTGGGATGGTTTGGGGCTGGAATAACCCCCTGGAGAATCTTCAGGGCTCAGTTTTCCCCAATTTCTTTGCTGGCATCACCTCCCGCTGTGGTGACGTTTCAAAAAACCCCGGCTGTGAAACCGAGCCCTCGGTGACTCAGGCAAAAAGGAGAAAGTTCAGGGAATGTGGTTAAAGCTGGGAATGATCCTGCTCTGCCTACACAGCCAAATTATTTCATTCTGATTGGCTCCACCACTTTTTTAGGGAAAAAAATCCCCATTAATCCCAGCCCTGAGCTTGTAGCAGAGCAGGATTTCCCATTTTCCATGATCTTCCAGCACCAATCCCAGCAGCAGAGCCTCATGGAGGCTTCAAAGCAGGGGCTGCTGCTCCCAAAGTGGGTCAGGTCACCCCTAAGACAAAACAGAATTGTTTGTTTATATTCCTGGACTTTGCAAATATAAAGATAAAAAAAATAACTGGGACATGTCAGGTTTCCAAGCAGATGAATTTCCCTGTGGTTCTCCATTCCCAGGATGCAGGAGAATCCAGGTTGGAGCCTTTTCCAGGGATCTCCTGAGGCTGGCGCTGCTTTGGATCTCAGGCTGGGGCTGGGAAAGAGATCCAGGCTGGGAGTTAAATTCATGTTTTGGGGCATTTTGGGTGTTTCTAAGGAAGTATGGAGCTGCCATGTGCTGGGAAGGGGCTGATCCGTGTCCTGTGGGATGGGGAATTGATTCCCACATGGAATCTGTGGAGGACCTGGCACCCAAACTTGCCAATAAAAAAAAAGCTGTGAGGACATAAAATTCCAGCTGGCAGTGCTGCAAATAAAAAAATTTCAACCATTTGAATTTGCTCTGATCCTTCTTCTAAAGCCTTTTTAAAATGCCATAAACTGGGGCTTTTTCCTTTCCACATTAAAAATCATAGAATTCTTTGGGTTGGGAGGGACCTTAAAGTCATCCATGGGCAGGGTTCCACTATCCCAGGGTGCTCCAAGCTGGGCTTGGACACTTTCAGGGATGAAGCAACCATGAAATTTTCAGGGATAATCAGCAAAGATTTGCCCCATCAGGAGCTCCCATCACCCCCACACCTCAGAGGAATAAAGGAATATTCCTCTTCTGAGGAATAAAGGCTCTCAAGCAAAGCAGGTTTTGGAAAAACAACAAAAATTCCCCAAAGCATCCCTTAGAATTCCTAAATATTCCTAAACCCCACACCACAGCTCCTCTGGGAGTTCTATGCCAGGGAAGAAAACCAGAATTAGCTGATGCTGAACATGCCAATTAAAAGGAAATAATTCAGAATTTGCTGCTCCGTGGCTTTGGCAGATACCAGGTGCTGGTAAGGATAAAACCCCCCGAGCCGGGTGGTGCTCAGCTGTTAGAGAAGCTGGAGATTTGAAAAGTGAAAAAAAATATAAATACAAACACCTGGATGGGGAAGATAAAGGCCAGTTTGGGTGCCCAGCTCACAGCTGGGCATTGCTGCCTTATCGAGTAGAGGGAGCTGCTGTGTCTGGCCCCCTCCTACGTGGGGAGGGCTTTGATAAGGAGCTCCAGGTGCTGCTTATCAGGGAGGGGCTGGCCCAGCCCACCAGGAGCTTTCTGCTGTTTGCTGGTTCCTCTTTTCTCCTGAATTTTTCTCTTTTCTCCTGAAATTCCTGGCCCTGGAGCTGCGTTCCTGCTGTTCCAGGATGGAGGTGCTTTGGTGCCTCGGGTCCATGGTTGATTCCTGGGTTTATTTGGCTGCTGGCACAGAGGGAACTTTGGGGATTCTGCTGCTGCTTGTTGGGGTGTAAATCGTAAAGTTGTGGATTCGTGGAATGGTTTGGGTTGGAAGGAGCTTAAAGCTGACCCCCAGCCACGGCAGGAACATCTCCCACTGTCCCAGGGTGCTCCAGCCTGGCCTTGGATACTGCCAGGGATCCAGGTACAGCCCCAGCTCCTCCCCACCCTCCCAGCCAGGAATTCCTTCCCGATATCACATCCATCCCTGCTCTCTGGCAGTGGAAGCCATTCCCTGTGTCCTGTCCCTCCAGGCTCTCCTGCCCAGCAAAGTCCCAGTGTCCAGGGCTGTTCCTACAGCACCTGCAGAGGGATGGGAAAACAAAACCATGGAATGGTTTGGGTGGGAATTCCCATGCAGTGACCCCCTGCCATGGGCAGGGACACCTCCCGCTATCCCAGGTCCATCCAAAGTGGCCCTGGACATTCCCAGGATGAGGCTACTGTAGGCCAAATGTGTTTTTAGCTTTGAGTTCCCTGTTTCCCTGCTGCAATGGAATTTGGGGCTCACAGAGCACCCCAGGGACCCCCCACCCCCAGGGATCTCCAGGATGGGATACAGGGAGTGGTGGGTGGGGAGAGCGAGGGAATCCTTGCACAAGCCTCTTCTCCCAGGAAGCTTTTTCAGGGAAGCTGAGCTCCTTTTGTCCAGGGATGGCTCCTCTGTGCCAGGCAGGGATGGCAGGAATCCATCCCAGAGACACAGGCTGCTCCTTGTCCTGCTGCTGGCCACAACCTCTCTGCCCCATTTCCCTCGCAGAAATCAGGGATAATTCCATCCCATCCCCAGGAACACAGGGAGGCCCTTCAGGCCCAGCCTCTGCCCTGGCACCTGAGCTCCCTGAGCTTTGGAGCAGGAGGATTCCTCATGGCATCGCTCCAGGGTTAAAATATAACCTGGAAGCAGAATTCCAGCCTGATCCAGATCATTATCAGGGAGCAACATCTGAGACTGAAGGAGAAAGGGCTCATTAGGGTGACACTAATTCCCCCTCCCTGCCCTGCCAGAAGCAAGGGAAGGAGATTAAAGTTCTTGCTCAGGGAGAGGAAAACCTCGATAAACCCTGTGGAGCAATCCTGGGAAATGTGTCCCTGCCAGTTTTACTTCCTTGAATCACAGAAAGGGAAGTTCCTGAGCCCAGCTGGTGTGTGGGGACCATGGTTCTCTGCTGGAATTATGGGTGTGGATGTAGCTCTCCAGCTCTAAAATGTCATTTAATGTGGAAAACACAGCAACAAACCCTGCCAGCACCACAGCTTTGGTCTCTTTCCAAGGAAATAAAGGTGTGATAACCCCGTGGTTTCTCCCAGAGAGCAAGAGGGGGAGATGTAAGCAATTCTTGGTTTGAATTTTGTGTTGTTGGAAGGGTTTTATGATCTCAGCTTTCCTCAGGTTGAGTTTCCCGGCCAGGACACCCCAGGACAGCAGCTGGGAGTCACCTCCAGCTCTCCCACATCCTGGAGAAGTGTTTTTCCAAGGGCAGGAGACGCTGCCAGGTCTCCAAAACCAATCAGGAGTGAGTCCCATGCGTGACAATATCATTTATTGTTATTTTCTCCAGCAGTTCCGTGTTCCCCGAGGAACAGAGAATTCCCAGCACAAATAAGGGAAGGAAGAAGGAGAACAGCTTGTGCTGCCCCCAGCGCCTCTCCAGGTACCCAGCATGTGACCACACCTGGATTCTCTCACCTCGTGTGTGTTCATTTCCAAACCTGACACTTTATTTTCCTGCTTTTTCCAGGCTCTGAGGATGGTTTTCCTCCTTCTCAAGGCCCATGCAGCAATAAATTGTCTTGCAGTATCATGGGAATGGTTAACCTTGATTTGAGTTCATGTACCACCTCCTTCCCTGCAAGGTCAAATTCCAAATAATCCTCTGGAGAGGAATGAAATAAAGTCGGGGCTGCTCCCTGGGATACAAAGACTTTGCGTCCTTCTTCTAGAGAGCACCAAATTCACCTGGTTTGGGACGTTTTCATGTTGGGACAAAGAAATCACGTAAAATATGAAGGAACAGAAGCATTTTTGGGGAGCAGGGATGTGAGGGGAGCTCGTTCCACCCCTCACACAAGGAGTGGGATCTGCTGGGAGGGATGGCAATGCTGTGAATCTGTCTTCTCAGAAGAAAGGAAGGGCAGGAAGTTTTCCTAAACCCTTCTGGAGGTTTTTTCCCCCCCCAGTAAGGCACACAGGAAGGGACAGAGGGCTCCTGAGATACCCTAAATAAGCCCCGTTCCAGGCAGCTCCCCTGGATCAGCAGCACAGGAGCTGAGCACAGCCCCTTTGTGCTTTGGGGACAGTTTGGGGGCTGCTTTGGGGACCCTGCAGGGAAATCAGACCCTTTGCCCATGGAATCTCCAGGTCTGATTGCACCTTCCCCTGCTTCACCAGGGGGTGATTGCACGAGGGTCCCGGTGCTGTTATGAGGGTCCCCGTCCTTTCATGAGGGCTGGCCGCGAGCTTTGGGGGACTCACCCGTTCTCATTAGGGCTATGAGCCTGCACAGGACATCCAGAGGTGACACCCCGGGAGTCCCAACCGTGCCACCATTATTAAAAACCCCTCCAACAACAGGAATTGCTAAATCTCCCCTTCCTTCCCACCTCAGCTTTCCCCGTGGCGTGAACCACGGGGTTACCACACCTTTCTTGGCTCCGGCAGACACAGAGGTTTACCGGTGCCTCGGTGTGACACCGTGTCTCGCTTCAGGTGACAGTTGAAAGCTCCGCGGCCGCGCCCCCCTCAGCGGCGGTTCCACAGCAACACCCGCCCCTCAGTGCTACGCCCCGCCCATCCATTACTACAGCCAATCACAGCCCACCGCCGCGCCCCTTTTCTCCTTTTATCGGTTGATATTATTGCCAATCATTTTCCCGCCCGGTGATGTAACAAATGCGTCCCGCGCTGATTGGTGCGGCGGGGTGGGCGTGGCGAGCGCGTCTTTAAAGGAGGCTGAGGCGGCTCGCGGTCCCAGTGCCCC